TCTGTGTTTCCTGCACTTTTGCTTCATTTGCAATTTTAAGAAATTTTCAGTAAGAAATAGATTTATTTTATAGAGTACATCAGCGAATTAGCTAGTTTTTACTGGGTAACTTTAACTATTTCTGTGAACAAATATGGTTGATTTTTAATATATTAAACGAGAAAGGATTTAGCCTTTTAGCATCCTTTATTGTGCAATGTAGAAAGATGTTGTCAGAGGTTTTAGTACTCTTGTTTAGCACATTTTTTTTAGTAGACTCTAATTTTGTCTAGGAGTTTTATTTTGAGACTTTATTTTGTCTTTGTCCATAGAGTTGTAGCAATTGCTTTCATTTGTGCAACCAATAGCATTGGCTGCAGTATCTTTGAAAAGGCTTTTTCTTCATTAATGGCTCCCGAGAACAAAATGCTGTCCCTAGTGGCTCCTAAAACTTACAAATGCATGCAGTGAGATTGCTAATATTATTTTTACTGAAAAAAAATGTTGGAGCAGTTCTTTTAATAGCTTTATGCAAGCATGAAGAACTTGAATTGTAGAACTAAATCTCAAGCTCCTTGAGCTGTTCTTCAGTCCTCAAAATACAGTTCCTGTATGCACAACTTCAAAACTAAGAAACTCCTTTCGTATGCTCATCCAGCCAAGGCATGACCAAACAGTAAATATAGAAACCCCATTGGTGTGGGGTCTGTACATGTGACAGTGCCATGAATAACAGTATCACATTTCAAAAGGCAGATTAACCTGCTGAAGTCTTTGCAGTCATCTGGAAGCAAAAATGTTATATGCTTTCCCAAAACATTTAGGAAGATTGCTGGGAGCATTAGGCAGCCTGGCAGCCTGCTTGTTGGGAGGGGAATGCAGAAGAGGAGATCATCCTGTGAATGTTTGCCACCTTGCTGGTGGCGCCAGGCAGGACTCATTTAGTACTAATGCTGTCAAAGATCCTTAGAAACATCATTCATTTTATAAGAATGACACTCATACCAAGAAGCACAGTATCAATAAGGACAGTTAGCAGCCCTGACTTTAGTGAATTCAAGTGTTACCAGTACTTAAAAAAGCTAATTAATCATGCAGATTGAAGGTGGGATTTCTTGTCAGTTACGATTGATAGTTTGGACTGTGGGATTTCCCCTTATCTTTCCTGTAGCTGTGAAATAGCAGGTCACTTGTGTATGTAAATGACCCAAAGTACATATATGATTTTCATAACCTTGGACAGGAAGGCAGCCTGTAGAAAAAAAGGCGTGCTGTGAAGCAGAGTGATAACTTCAAAGCAGAATGACAAATTTTCATTGGTTGCAAAAACCGGTGAATATGCATAATTCCTTATCAGTGTCACATGATGCAAGTCACATTTGACCATAAGTGCTCTGCTTTTTCAGCCAGTTGCACAAAGAAATTCCAGGGAAGGAACAGTGGGATGTGATGTATCGTTTTCCAAATCTGTTTTGAAGAATGCAAATGAACATCTACGTATCAAACTGATGATACAGATAAAGTATCTGAAACATTTCTTCATGATTCTTCACTTTCCTATAAAAGTAATTTGGCAGCATGCCATTATTACCAAGTAAATCTCTTCCTCCTTGCTACACAATGTGTCTTTGGCTATCATTTTCCCCCTCTGAGGTTGTTTGCCAATATCTGTAATTTCTATGAAGTTTCCATGTTAATAATGCTTACTTCTCTGTACGCTGACATTACTCGTCAGTGCATGCTTCCAGAAAACTAAATATCTCACTTGAACATTTTATGCATGCCCATTGCATTTTTTTGTGTTTTTTTTTAATTAATACAGCTGTCACATGTTTTATCAGAGGATGAAGTATCACTTTTAGATGTACTAATCTACCATACCTTTGCCAGTTTTTATTCAGGGTGCTCATATTTGGCAAGATACTGCATTGCTTGGGGTTTTGCTTTAAGAATTTGCAGACTTGTGTTATAGGTTCTTATTGTATTATTTGATTATTACATCTTTATATATATGGAAATGTAGACTATTTTTAGTATGCTTTATTAAGTTATCATATTAAAGGGAAAATGCATACGTAGATCAGAGGTCATCTCACTACACAAGAATTTAATAAAGTATGGTAGAAAGAAAAGGTAATTCAGAAAATTGAAGGTGGTTTGGTGTTTGGGTTTTTGAGGGTTTTTGTTGGTGGTTGTTCCCTCTCCTTGATTCTTCTGTGCTATCAGTCACTGAAGTATATCAAATGCTAATGTCTGTGTTTCCATCTATGCTTGTCTGGAGTATTCAATCATTTCCTTTTATGCCACCTTTGTAAAGGAAGTATGCACATCTACTTGTTTAGTTCTGGCAGATGTCTTCCATTTTTCTTGTCCTGTGTCAAAATTGATTATGATAGAATTGATTTTCCTCCGTTAAGAATTTTATTTTTTTTTTTCCATTGTGTTTAATCTCTCTGGAGACTGCTTTGATGATAAAAGACTGGACGTGGACCCTGTATGGAACCAGCTCCAGGAAATCGGTGATAGACCATCCACATTGTAGCTGTATGTGCTTTAAGAGCATGCTTCTTCCATCATGAGATGGTTTATAGATGGGGACCTGGGACCACCTATATGTTGGCCATGACAGCTGATCTAGCACATGATATGTTAACATATTTGGTACATTAATACATTGCAGATTTAGAAGCAGTGGTAAATCTGTGCTTTTTCTGCCCTGCCAGAGGCAGTGGTTCCTTTTTGTGGGCTCAGTTGTTTGGTCGTGCTCTGAGCTGAACTTGGGTTAAAATGAATGGAGTTTGGGGGAAAAGAAGTTGATTTATGCAGGTGATTTGGTTGAGAGAGTGGCTGAGCAAATCATTGTACAGAAGCTGCTCAAGGGAGAGTGCCTACTTGTTAGGAGCTAACGGGTGGAAATGATTAATTCACTGCCAAAGAGAATAATTGTATGGACTTCAGCCCTTATCCAGTACTCCCTAAGGTGAAGGACTTCTTCCTCTGTAAAGAATCGTGAAGAAAGTTCCAGTCCTAAGCATTAGTGCTGTTTTATGTTAATGTCACAGGAAATAATGTTGATAAAGATTGTGGTGGTGCTGCTTATAAATATATACTTGAGGTTTCGACACATACTGGTTTACTTATCCTGCTTGGTTTGGAAGAGCATTTAGTAATTAAGCTAAAATAATTAAATTGGATATTATGAGTACAGGATAGATTTCAAGCATTCTTTTTTTTCCCCTCCAGGTTACAAAATATTATTCCTGCATTAGTGTTTTGGAGTATGTTTGAGCAGAGATTTTGGGTAATTTAAAAACAAAAGTTCAGCTAAGGTAGAGTAAGAAGACTTGACATTTTGGCAGAGACAGTGCACAATAAACTTATGACTGGTGGCTTGGCATCTGCATTATTTTCAATATCAATATTTTAGAAAATTTCATTGAAAGTGCAACATGTCATGATTCTGTAATTATCTGTCTAGTATAAAGTATTTCAAAATGACATTTTAAAAATCAGTGGTGCCATGTCCAAGATGAGTATAGAGTATTACAAGGAATTGCTTAGCCAACTTTACTGTGTAATCTGAATATTAACTCTGGCATAGGATACCTCAAAAAAGTCAGTTGAGTGTTCAACACTTGGTAGAGGGTGGCTTCATTCAGATAAAGATATCTGGTCCTCCACTTGGGGATACGTGGCTTCAGGGAGATACTTAACACCTTGCCAAACTAGCAATGACCTTAATGCAGAAAGACCAGTTCTGGTTTCCATTCCATCTTCAAAAAACATCCTGGGGGGTGTGGGGATGGGGAGGAGGGAGTTACTGGGTCTCCCTGCATCCTGGTAGGCAGTGAATGGTTGCTGTGTCTGCTGGGTACCCAAACCCTCTGTTTCCCGCAGCTTGCTAAGCTAGCCTGGAGAAAGTAACTCAGATTCTGCTCTGAACAGCACATGCACTTCTCTGGAAAACACATCTCCACTTGTCTTTTCAAACCTTTGGTGATTTAATTGCTTCAAACATGCTGTTGGGAGCTACTGTAACTTTGAACTAGTTGAACCTGAAATAAAATATCGAATGATACACATCCAGAATCTTCCTTTCTTGTCACCCTGAGGATTTGTTTAGCCTTTATACTTAAGATTATTTTACCTTTTTAAAATTCATATTGTAGTTTATGTGATTATTTCTCATCATTGACCTATATCATTGCTGCTGACTTCAGGGCCTTACTGTAGCTAGTAAGTTCATGCATGCAGTATTTCCCTTATTTTCTTGTTGTTTCCTATTTCTTCAACTTTTTTTACCATAATTACAGTAAATTATTTCTTTGATTGCATGTTGAGAGGGCAGAAATGCTGTGCCAGCAGCCTTTTTTTATTCTTTGCTGCTGCTACTATTCTTTTGCTAGCTCCTGAGGGTAATAAGATCTATGCATTCCACTATTTTTGTGCATACTTAGCTGCAATTGCTGCCTTTAGTAATTATTATTTAATTAACTCCAAAGTATTGCATGAAGAATGCAAAATTAAGGAATGTAAAAAAGATCAAAACAGAGGGTTTTTTATATTTCGAATCCATATGTGTTATTTCTTGGAATTTTTCTATAAGATGGTGACATTAAAAGGTCTGCATAATTGTAGAAATATCAGAGGTATGCAATAAAAGAGAGTTTAGCATTTAGCTGGGGATCAAATTTGTTTTCATAATTTGTAGTAGGAATTTCTTAGAAGCTTGAATAAGACCCTTTTCTAACATTGAACTTTTAATTCCACTTTACCTTTTCTAGGTGTTTTCAGTTAGCAGAAGTTTACAAAATACTATTTTTAGATAAACTCATAGTGTAACTCAAGCAGATAAAAATACCTGTATTTGGGTATCTACTTATAGATCAGTAGGTCTGTGCTGTGAATGTAAAAATGAGCAGTAAATGAGATGGTACATTTGTGTGAAGGAAAACTTATTGTGGCTTTTATGTTATTTATTGGCTTTTAATAAATAAAAGTTTCTGGGCTTGCTGTTTTAGTGGATGGCTGCATACACAGAGCTGCTGGGCCCTGCTTAGTTGCTGAATGTCGCAACCTGAGTGGCTGTGAGACTGGACAAGCAAAAATTACATGTGGATATGAACTACCAGCAAAATGTAAGTCAGCCCTTTCTCAGGGTTTTCCTTTTGTTCTAAGCACGTGGAGCAGGTATGCATTCTTTGTTTCCCTGAAGTCTAATTCAACAAGGTATTAATTTTACAAAATTAGCAGTGGGACTTAAAAAAGCGTGTTCTGTAATGCTGTCTTCCCCTCAAAGCAGTTCAGGCTTTTCTAAATGATAATTTCACCTATGTTATCTGATGAAAACTTACATCTCTCTATAATACAATGCATCTTTCATGTTTATTTTTTTGCAAGCTGAAACACATCCTTTCATATGCATAATAAAGGATTGGAAATGTGTTATGAAGTATAAACAAAATATACATTATCATATTTAAGATCCAAGGAGACAATTTTTGGAAATGTTGCATATTTCATATTCTTCACACAGATTCCTTGATTGTGAATACTCTGAGAACTGAGGAGATCAAAGTGATGTATTGTGTTTTCAGCTGCTACATAGAGGCTGATTGGCAATTACTGTGAAGGCTTCTGTCACACTTCGGATTTTGACAGAGTGCAGCTCAGAGCTGGAATGTTTTTGCTCTTTGAAAGTAGAATTGTCAAAATTCTCTTCCTATTAAAAATAGGAAGGTGGCTATTTGACCTTGTTGAGTAGATGCTGATCATCTTGGAAAAAAACCTAGCATATTGACAACAACTTGGTTGGCCAGTCTATTATGTAAGAATAAAATTTAGGAAATCTCTGCAAGTTAGGATCTTGCAGTATAGTGTATTAAGGTGTGATGATACAAGTACCAAAAAAACCATTACAAACAGCATATAACTAGAATTCAAACTCTTATTTTTTTATATTCAGTCAGCACAAGGAAGATAGTTAATTAAAAAAATATGTAGATCTGCTCTCTTAATTTGTTATACACTTTTTCATATAAAAGCAAACGCTTTCCTCAGTAGAAGGTATTTTCTTAGTTTCCTGTGGCCCTTGGAGGCTTTTTCCCAGTCATTTATTGGCACTTTCTATGATGATGAGAGCTGTGAGTTATTTCCTTGACAGTGCTAATTGCTATATACTGTAAAACTTTAAAACTATATTCTATACATAGTTTTACCACACCTTGGTGATGATTTACAAAAGATTAATTTGACTAGAGGTAAGGGAAATTGTTGAGGAAGATTCAATATGGTAGTTATATTGGGTTTGTATATGACCAAGGTCTTCACCAGATTGCTGTAGAATGGATTGGATTGTTAGATAACACAGTGTAATTTATGGGGATTTTTTGATGTTTAATGCTTCATCTTTAAAAAAAGCATCATGGGAAGGACAGAAAAGCTGCTCATCCATAGCTGCATAATTCCTATCATGTGTTTTAATGAGAGAAATTAAATGCAAGGTGTCAAAGCAAAGAGCACTGGACTGTGTTAGAAAGAGAAAGGGTCACGTCTGTGATGTGGCCTCCTTTTAAATTTTGTAGCAGTTTAGTTGGTCTTTCCCAAGTAAGGCTTGTAGGACAGGATTCTGTTTGAAGATAATAGGAATTTTTTTTGTTGTGTTCCTTATAATAAGCAAAATAATGAGAAAACCCACTATCACTTGCAGTAGAAATAAAGTCTGTAACCAGACACGGAGAAAATTCGATATTCTGCTTAATCAATACTCTTAGAAATGGAAATAGCATCAAAGACATGTCTATTGGTATTTGATCATGCATCAACATGAGATGGGAAAAGATACATTAACTGACAAACAGGCACAGGGGGAGAAACCTACAGTTCACATGTGGAGGCTGAGAATTAGATACTCTTGATTTCCTAGATTTTTTCCTTAAAACTAATTTCTATTCTCTTTGGAAGCTTTTGGTTGTCGGCTCATTAAATTATTATACCTTTTACACCATCAGTCTGCCAGTGATCAAACAATCAAGACTCCATTTTCATATTTTAAAGAGCTATAGATCCACTGGATAGCTTTTGGCTCTCAGTGTTACTTTGTCATAGTAGTATGACAGTTTAAGTGTGATGAGAGCAGGAACCTGAGAGGAGGTCTGGACTTCCCCATCCAGATGTGCTGTGATGCAGTTTTGTGTGGCAGCAGTTTGTTGAAGGTTCTAGGTGAATGGATAATTGCCAGCTTTCATAATGAGTTTGCTTTTCACTTATCCATTTGTATATAGGAGACCAGCTATAATAATCCATTAGCAGTTTGAGTGGTGCAGTGATTATTTTGTTGTCTCTGCTCTTCTCGTGATTGTAGTTGCATGAATAATGGTAGTGTAATTTCCTAGCATGGTGAATTGTAATTTTTTATTTTGTTGTTGTTGTTATTTAACAGAATTGTAAAATGTTGGCATTCTGTTTCCTAACCCTGAGATTTCCTCATCTCTATTTCTTGATCTTGAAATGCTTTACTTGAAAGTAGTTTTCCAAAATCAGAAAAGCTGCTTTGGGACAGGGCAGCCTGCGTGTGTGCTGTATGATGTGGGACTTGGGCTTAAGCTGAGGACTTCATGTTAAAGGACTTAGTATTTAAAGATCATGCAGTATTTGTTTTATAGAAAACTTGAAGGAAGTGGGGATTAAATTTAGCATTTTAAGGGAAAATATGCTTTGTTAGGAAGCTGGTACTTGGTAAATAAAAAACACTTCAGCAATCTTCTTTCTCATGTACTGTATTTTTATTGAGTGCTTGATTGTATTTACTTAGGTCTAATAGAACAAGTTCTATAAGAACAGGTCTAATAAACAAGTTTATTCACAAACAAAAAATAATGTCTGACTAAAAAATGCAAATATTTAGGGTATAGACTATTTTTCTGTGATTTTTTCGTGTTGCATCTGAGTCAGAGATCAATTTGTGAAATACACAAGTAACAGTAAATGTTCAAGGAGAGAATACATAAAATAGTTGACTTTTTTCCTCATCTTTTGTATCCTGATAGTGTGAACAGGCAAAGATTAACATATCTATAGCCTAGAGATGTTGCTTTATGCCCTTAGATGCGTATTTTTTAATACAAAAAAATAATCTGTATGAAAATAGAAGAAGTGAAATCAAATTGAGTTTTCTAATTGCCAGTTAATGTAACAGTAAGTTTTACAGAAGTGAGTGTAATCAACATCTGTCTTCTGTGTTGTAAAAGCCTACACAAAGAGCCACCCAAATGCCAACCAAATTATTTGCTGAATACATAATTTGGTTGATGTAATTGTTTTTTCAAACACCTATGCAGGCACACAAGTTTTCCTAGCACTTTAGAGGACTGAAAAAGGCAGTGCTTTTTGCTTCGAGACGTTTGCCTTTATTGCTCTCCTAGACCCATCATCAGTTACTTAACTTTGTGGTTCATATTCTCTATTTTAAATAAAAGTTCATTCTCAATATTGTACAACTGGTCTTCAGACACTGAGCAGTACTTTGATACAGTCATGCTCTAACTAACAGATGATCAGTATCTGTTTAAAGCTCTACAAATGCTTGTTTTCTTTCTCATTTGATTAATAGTCTCAGTTGCCTCTACTGGCAGATAATGGTCTGAATGTGAATTGGTCTTATGGGTGGAACCAAGGGTCCATAATAGTCTCATGGTTTGTTCTCTGCTTGCAGAGGTTCACTATTAAAAAAAGATCCTGTTAGAGCACTTTCAAAAATACAGTTCTGTTCTGCAAGATATTTAACAGGCTTAAAACTGATTGAAGACATGGTGATCAGATCCAACACAGGTAATTGGTACCCCAACCTTAGTGGGAAAGGACTCTCAAAGTAACTTTTTTCTATTGTTGTTATGTCTAGTAATAATTTCTTTCTTTTTCTTTTTGAAAAATATTTCTTAATAAAACCCCTAAACCTGGGAAAATAAAATTTTACATCCTCTCATATAAGATAGAGCCAACCACTGATAAACTAAATCTGACAGGTGGACTGACGCTGACTTTCAGTGGAGGTACCATTCTGGAAAGGCTAGACAGTTTCTAATATGTTGGTTTATGTTGTTAATAAAGCTGTAATATTTAGATTAAAGTTTTCTGTTTCCTTGATATTTTTAGTATTTAAGTGCTGTCTTTTAGGAAATACCATACTGCTATAGAATAATCTTCTGGTCCAAAGTCACTGTGTGGATCAATCTGGAATAATAACGTCAATGTGCTCTCAAAGATTCCTGC